ATTTTTCTTATTAAGATAGAACTTTGTTTCTGCAGTTTTTTAGGTGAGACATGCACAGAGGAAAAAAATGCCGTGCAGTTGGGAACCAAATAAAAAGTAAAATAAATAACCTCTGTGATTGAAAAGACATTTTCAAATCACTGGTTGTTAGCTATACTGTTAAGACTCAGGGAGAAAATGAAAACTGGGTTTTGGACTATAGTAGTTCTCAGTTTAAATAAATACTGTCACATCCACCTTCACAGAAATCTGTTACTTCTGTCTGATGTTCCACGTCACATATTTCAAGCAAATACTGATTTTTTTTTTTGCAGGTCCTAGGGCTTGAACTTAAGGCCTGGGCACTGTCTCTGAGCTTCTTTTTGCTCAAGGCTAGAATTCTACCACTTGAGCCACAGCGCCTCTTCCAGCTTTTTCTGCTGAGGAATAGATCCGAGGGCTTCATGCATGCTAGGCAAGCACTCTACCACTCAGCCACATTCCCAGCCCTCAAGCAAATCTTAAAAGAAACTCAGCTGGATGCTAGTGGCTTACATCTGTAATCCTGGTGACTAAAAAGGCTGAGAGCTGAGGATGAAGGTTTGAAGCTAACTGAGGCAGGAAAGTCTGGGAGAATCTTATCTCCAATTAATCACTTAAAAAAAAAACACCCAGAGGTGGAGATGTGGCTTGAATAATAGAGTGCTATCCTGAGCAAAAAGATCAGGGACAGAGCCCTGAGTTCAAGCCCCAGTACTGGCAGAGACAAACAGATGAGGGCGGGGAGACAAGCAGAAGGAAGGAGAAAGGGAGAGAGAGAGGGAGGGAGGAAGGGAAAAGGAGAGGGTGAGGGAGGGGACAGGTGAGAGAAACAACAAAAGCAAAAGAGAAATAGAGCTAGAAGAGAGAAATCCTCTCTTGGGTTGTTCCTACTCCTCACAAAAAACGCATGCCACCGATCATGCTTAGCCAAGTGATCTTTTCAGTCATAATCAGGGGACAGTGCACTAAAGGGATGCACAAATGAGTTAAAAATTTAAAAAAAAAATCTCATCTCTTAAAATATACAAAACATGTTTGGCCAAAATCTGAACTTTGGAAAACCTATGAAGTAATGCATGAGAATCGAACACTAATGTTTCCAAGCTGAAATGAGTGACCAGATCCCAGGTGGACAGGGAATTCCCCTGTACCTGGATCAGGGTGGAAAGACAGAAGAAGAAGGTGGAGGGAGGGTCACAATGGAAACGCTTGTCCCCTCCTCCAGGAGAAAAATCCCATGCTCTCAAGGAGAGGTTTGTGGGTAACAATGGCTGTCCCACTTCCAGTTACCATGGAAGGCTGCCTGAGCCATGGTGCTTGCTGCTTCTGGATAGATGCCCAATCTTCAGAACTCAATGGGCTCCCCCAGGTCCACTGCCCACTCTGCAAGCAGGGCTGTGGCCTCCCTTGGCATCTCTTAGAATAGGCTGCTCATCTAGCTTCACAAATCTAGGGTTCTCCAGGAAGACACTTCAGGCTTCTAGCCATTGCTTTGGAAACTTTCTAGAGGAGGACATACATTTCATTCAAAATATGCCCTTGTTTCTTTTGCTTTTTTGGTGGTACTGGGATTTGAACTCAGGGCTTTGCACTTGGTAGGCAGGCACTCTACCCCTGAGCCATACACCCCAGCCTATGATATGTGTGTTTTTATTTCTTTCAGGAAATATACTTTTAAGTATTTTTTGTCTCTGGTAAATGTTGAAGTAATTTTAAAAACAAAAACAAAACCTAGCCAAGTGCTGATGGCTCAAGCCTGTAATCATAGCTACTTAGAAGGCTGAGATCTGAGGGGCCTGGTTCAAAGTCAGCCCAGGAGGAAGGCTTTATCTCCAATTGACCACCAAAAATCCAGAAGTAAAGCTGTGGTTCAGGCTGGGAAGGTGGCTCAGTGGTTGAGTGCTTGCCTTGCATGCATGAGGCCCTGGGGTCGATTCCTCAATACCACATAAGCAGAAAAAGCCAGAAGTGGCGCTGTGGCTCAAGTGGTAGAGAATTAGCCTTGAGCTGAAGAACTCAGGGAAAGCATCCAAGCCCAGAGTTCAGGCCCCAGAACCACCAACAACAACAAAAAAAGTTGTGGCTCAAAGTAGTAGAGCACTAGCCTTGAGCAAAAAAAACCTCAGGGACAGCCTCCAGGCCCTGAGTTCAAGCCCCATAATGACCAAAAAAATTAAACATCCTTTATATTATTACATATGTTTGCTATGGGCTGACGAGTATACCTCAGTGGTACAATACTTGTCTACTGAAGCCCTGGCTTTGATCCTCAGCATCAAAAAAGATAAATGGGCGAAATGAAAACATCTGCTAGAAGTCTCTAAGGAAAAGTTGACACTGTATAAAATAAAATGCATATTTAAAAGATTGTGTAAAGCTAGGTGCCAGCTGTAATCAGAGTCATTTGGGAGGACAAAGTTTGAAGCCAGCCTGGACAAAAAGTGTCCAAGATGCTTTCTCAACCCATAGCTGTATATAATGGTGTGTGCCTGCCATTCTAATTGATGAAGGAAACTGAGCAAGAGGATTATGGAGTTAGGCCAGCCCCAGCTGAAAGTCACTCATCTCCATGGAAGGAAGCCAGACATGGTGGCATTCCTGTCATCACAGCTATGACTGGAAGCCTAAAATAGGAAAATCACAGTCCAGATGTGCATCAGGTTAGGGAGCAAGATTTTATATAAAAATAAACATTGCAAAAATGGGAGGTGGGGGCTGAGGATGTGGCTCAAGTGGTAGAGGGCCCACAATGTAAGCACTAGGCCCTGAATTCAAACCCCTCTACTGCCAAATATATATACACACACACACACATATACATTATACATATATATGTACTAATGTGTGTGTGTGTGTGTGTGTCTGTGTATATATATATATATATATATGTTGTAGCAAGAATGTATAAGACCTGGGCTCCATCCCTGATACTAAACCCATAACAAAATAAGAAAGATGAAGGCAAAGAAATATCTGGCAGGTTTAGTTCAGTGCTAATTTATTTCAGTTATAGTGGTCCATTATAGGTTTTAGATAAAAAGCAGCTGGTACACTCTGCCCCCACCCCACATACTACAGTAATCATTGTCCTTCCAGTATCTTAGACTAGCAGGAATAACAAAACAGCTTTGCCTTTGCACAAAGGATATTTAGTTCAAGTGGCAAAATTGATTAAAAGGGTAACTGGCTAACTCAGCATGTAGTATTAAAAACACTAATCAGGAGCCGGGCTCTGGTGGCTCATAATTCTAGCTACTCAGGAAGCTGAGACCTGAGGATTGCTGTTTGAAGCCAGCCCAAGCAGGAAAGTGTGAGACTCATATCTCCAATTAATCACCAGAAAACTAAAATTGGTGCTCTGTCTCCAAGTGGTAGAATGCTAGCAGGGACAGTGCACAGGCTCTGAATTCAAGCCCCAACTGACAAAAAAAAATGCTAAGCAGGGTTAGCATACCTTCAATAAGGGATAGGACAGAAAATATACACTTTGCAATATGGTTTCTGTTGCATCTAGGTAACTCTGCCACAGCAGGATGAGAAGAGCCACTGAGATTTCGTACGTGAGCACACCTAACTGTGTCCAGCAAGATTTTATTTATGGATGTTCAAGTTTAAATTTCACATATCTATGTCATAAAATAACAATAGTCTTTTGAATTTTTTCAACTGTTTAAAAATACCATTCATAGGTCTTTGGTCTTGCAAAACAGTCTTTGAATTTAGCTGTAGGCTGACTCCTTTCTCTAGAGTAATGATTTAAAAAAAAAAAAAAACCAAACAACCTACCTCCTGGCTACCACCCCCAAAGTAATTGATTATACTAGCCATGTGCTACAAAATAGGAAAACTTAAAAAGATAAAAATGGTACATTGATGAAGGGGTGAATGGTGAGGGGTGAATAAATGAAGTCCTTACACTCAGGGGTGAATAAATGAAGTCCTTACACCTGAACATGTCATCTTGGAACCACAGAAACCAACAGTGAATGGAGAAGACAATCCTGTCCCTTGTGCCTCTGGCCCTTCGGTGCAAGGTGCCATCTGGCTCTGGGCAGCATTTACTTGCTGAGCATGCTTCATTATCCATCAAGTCACCACTCTGAGAGGCACAAAGAGCCACCCTCCCATCCCCCACCCCCTGCACTTGGAGTCCAGCCTGTTAAGGCCAAGCTTCTCTGACTGCTAATGACCCAGAGTTTAGCAGCTATGTGCTCAATCTTCACAGAAGGAGTTGGGACTTGGGAAGCTCTTGCAGCTCACAGCTAAAGCCTAGTATGTTACTCTGGTATTTTAATTCACTAAACATCTTATTAAAACAAGGGACAGGACACCTTTTACAAAATATTTTAAAGAACATTTTCACCCACTATGGGGAGTTGGAGCCATTCAGCACAACAGAGTAGGGCTAGACGGAAAGAAATCTGTTAAATCTGCCATTTAACAGTTGTTAAAGTGTAGGTATCACATTGGCTGATAATGCTTGACTTCCAAGGCCTTCCCAAAGGTGGTAAAAATACAAAGTACCAAACAGCAGGTTAGCATGTGCGAGTGGTCTTTACTTCTGAACAGGTTATTTGTAGACAAATGCACAAGTAAATAACTTCAAGATTGGGCAAAAGCTTCAAGATCACAATTAAAAGACAGGCTGACCCAGCTCCCACCCAAATTTCTTTGAAAATTAGGCTACAGTCCCGTGAACGCACCTTCCCTCCCTAGAGCCCTTTGTCCTTTCTTTACAGCTGTCCATCAAGCTGCCAGGGTGAAAATACAACATCTCAATTTAACACAAGTCAGAGCTGTGCTGTGGGCTCAGGATTTGCAGAGAGCTGCTGGGGCGGGGGCTTGAAGGCTTAAGGGATCTCTTTCCGTTCTAAAGTAGGTTGGGGATTCTGGAAGTCATGGAGATAGCTTGGTAAAAGAAGACTGAGCACAGATTCGGAGCACTCCCCAGACTCTCGGTGCTGGCTCACCCTTTCCCTCCAAGGTCCACTCACTCCACATCCGTTGGCACAGCGAAGTTTCCCAACAAGTCGTTCCAACTCTCGCCTGATCATCCTAGGGCTGCTCACCCCCCTTGGCCGCCATCCCTGAAGCGACCCCCAGCTGGCCTTCAAAGCCAGTCCGGGGAGCGCGCATAGGACAGCGTGTAGTTCGCCCCGGCGTTGTTGTCCCAGTACTCTCCCTGCTGACATCGGTAACAGACAGCGAAATGAACAGCGACGCCGCGCACGTCCACGTCCTCCCCTTCCTTGGGCTGCAGACCGGGAGGCAGGCTGAGTGAGAAGTGGAAGCGCTCGAAAGCCGCCTCTTCCTCCACGTCCCCAGACTCGGATCTAGAGACCCCCGATGGCGCCTCTGGTGGCCGTGTCTGCTTCGCCTCCGGCTGCAGCTCGGCGGGCACATCCAGGAAGGAACGCCACTCGGTGAAAGTGTAGCGCACGGTCACTGTCCTGGGTCCCGGACAACTGATCACCCGACCAGCGCCCGTCACCTCCGTGCCCACAGAAGCCGAGCACTGCACGCGCTCCAGGCACACGCGCTGCCGCCGCAGGCGCTCAGCTGCGGCGCTGGGCCCGGGGAGCTGGAAGAGGGGTCGGAGCCGTGGCAGCGCCCGGAGCGGGGCGGGCGCCTTGGCCGCCGCCAGCAGCCCCCCGAGCTGCTCCAGGTCCTTGGAGCGCACCGGGAAGCTGCGGAGGCGCGAGAGCACGGCGGGCGGCACCTGCGGCTCCTCGGAGTCGCTGAAGTGCTTCACGCTGGCCAGGCTCAGCCCCAGCGAATCGGCGAACTGCACCCGCTTCTTGCACTTGGAACAGCAGAGGTCCGGGCCGTGCAGCGCGCCGTCCGCTCGCTCTTCGCCCCCAGCGTCCGGCCGCAGGCGCTGCTGCTGCAGAAACTTAGCCGCCTGCAGGATGGGGTCCTCGGGCAGGGAGAAGGAGCGCGCGCGGGGCCGGCGGCAGGGCGCCTCCTCCTGCTCCGGGACAGCGATCTCGGCCTTCGAGGACAAATCTGTGTCCAGCTGGGAGTCTGGGCTCGAGGCCTCCGAAGGGTCACTCTCCACGAAGGGGACCTCCGCGGCGGGCGGCTCCGCGGCGGGCGGGGGATCTCCAAGTAGTGCAGGGCTCGGTGCTTCTGAGCTCGGCAGCTGTGCCTCGGGGGCCTCCATGGATACCACCTGGCCCCGAGACCGGGCCTGGTGCGAATCCATGGCTTAAAGAGCCTCTGGAAACTTCTCTCATTGGGCGGTGGAAGGGGCGCCCAGCGCCCGCTGGGGCTCACCCTCCCTGCCCCCGTGGGCCTAGGGAAGGCGGCTCTGCCCGGGGAGCTGCAGCTTTTAGCGGCCGCGACTCGTGACGGAGGAGGGTAGTGCGGGGCTGGGGCTGGCTCTGGAGTTTAACTTGCCCGCAGGGGAGGGTCAGGGGCGGGGAGGAGCCGCCGCCCCAACACCTGGAAGCGAGTTCCCGAGGGCTAGTGGAAAATGAGAAGACTTTCCGAAGGACGCAGGTTCCCTGACACTCCCCCTCTCCAGCTCAACCCCCCCCCCGAGTGGGGCCCGAGTCTGCCTCACCTCTGCAGAGTCCCAGATAAACAATTTAGCTCAACTTTCAAAGATGAGAACGTGGACAAAGGGCTGATCGGTCTGCCGGCCGGAGGAGGGTGGTCCCCAGCAGCCTCCCCCCCCCCCCCCCCCTCCCCCCCCCCCCCCCCCCCGCTGTCAGCCCGGGGCGTCCTGAGCGCTGGGAGCGAGGAGGCTGGAAAGCGGCAGATCGGTGCGGCCTCCCGAAAGCTTGGGACTCCAGTCCCAAACTTAGGGACTCCAGTCTGCAGTTGGCCCCTCGGCGCTTCTGAGGGGTTGGGCTGGGGATCGCGCGGAGCCCACGCGGCTGACAGCTGAGTGCGGCCGGAGGTCATTCGTGCTTCGCCAGCGAGCACGTCCCAGTCCCTCCCCGCCGCCTCCACCCGCCTGCCCGCCCTTCCCGCCGATCTGCCCGGGGTGGGGAAGGAGAAGAGGCCCTGCTGGGGCCCGCGCACCACCTCCCTTGCGGCTAGTCGCCTTCTTGGCTCCCAGCGCACCATCTCCCTCTTCAGCGCCTGACACTCTAGCTCAGGCCTTGATTGTCAGACCTCCTAAGTGGACTGCAGGGTTGTGTTTTGTTTTGTGTTCTGTTTTGTGCCCGTCCTGGGGCTTGAACTCAGAGCCAGGGTACTGTCTTAAAACTATTTTGCTCAAGGCTAATCCTCTACCACTTGAGCCACAGCCCCAGTTCAGGCTTTTTGGAGATAATTGGGGATGAGAGTCTCATGGGTTTTCCTGCTTGGGTGACTTTGAACTAGTCCTCAAATCTCAGCCTCTCTCAGTAGCTAGGATTACAGGTATGAACTGTTGCCAGTCTTGGTTGCAGGGTTTTGTTTTTTGGTTTTTTTTATTTGTTATTGTTATGATAAAGGTAATGAACAGAGGGGTTGAAGTTATATAAGTCAGGTAAAAAGTACATTTTTTTACAGTTTTTTTACACCCCTTTCCTTGTTCTCTCCCAGTTTTTCTCTCCCATCTCCACCCACAAGTTGTATAATTCATTTTCAACATAGTGTCCAATGCTGCATTGGTTCACCCTTTGTCCTTCTATTTGGTCAGAGTTTTTACAGCTACCTTTTGTCTTGATCAACTTCATTGTCATCTGCATCACTAGGGGAAACACTGCTGCTAGTTTGTAGTGTGACTTAAATCCCCACAATCACATAGAAGTTTTGCCCACTGCCAATCAGCATGGGCTGGGTGGTGTCATGAGAAAGTTGGGGTCTTGCTCATCATGATGTGACCCCTGTGGACTTAGGTAATTTCACCTCATCTTCAACACAAGGCTTATATAAAAGTACCAGATCTACTTGGCCTACCTTCCTGGACCAATTTCAGTATTTGGGGAAGAAGCCTGGTTTTGGGGCCTCATGTCTGTAATCCTAACTACTTGGAAGGCTGAGAATGGCACTTCACGAAAGAACATTTTAAAATTGCACAAAGAGAGGTACTAGCTGTAATCCTAGCTATTTGGGAGATAGAGAATAGAAGGACCAAAGTTTGTAACTACCATGAGCAGAAAAGTTTCGGAGACCCCTTTTTAACCCACAGCTGGGTACAGTGGTACATGCCTGTCATCCTAAACTATCTGAGACGCTAGGAAGATCAAGGTTCCAGACCAGCCCCAGCAGAAGAGACTGCATCTCAATGGATAAAAACTGGACATGGTTGTGGGTCATTCAAGTTAGGATGGGAAGCCTAAAACAGACAGATCATGGTCCAGGCAGGAAGAAAGATCCTATCTCAAAAATAACCAGTGCCAAAAAGAACTAAAGGCATAACTCAGTTGCAGAGTGCCTGCCTGGTAAGCACAAGACCTTGAGTTCAAACTCTAGTACCACCAAGACAAAACAAGAAAAAGTTGGAGTAAAATATTTTTTATATTTTAGTGGTAAATATAAACATACTAATTTAAAGACAAACAGGACTTCAAAAACATTTTGAGGTTGGGTTGACCCTTTAGGCTACTGTTGTAAGGTAAATCATCCCAGAAGCCACATTTCAAAATATAATTCTCTCTATATATATTGGAGTCTTTATTATACAGTTAACAGGCTGCAGGCCGCCATTTATTACAAAGGCCTGCAGCACACAAATATAGTAACACAGCTAGGAAACATGCTAAAGAGGAAATAAATAACAAAAACAGTACCAATAAGCCAATTCAGCTCCAATGGAGAGCTGAATTGGGACGCCATGATGACTGGAGATGAGCAGGAAACAGGACACAGGACACCATCGCAGAGACACACATGGCATGGAGTGCTCTCGGCTGGACTGGTTGGAGCCTAAATAGGTCAGTGCAGGGGGCAGATCCTCAGGAAATTCCCAGTCCGGGCACTGGACTGACAGATTCAGTAACCTATCAGCCAAGTGCCTGCCCCTGCCTCCAGGGGTCCAGGCACTAAGTCATGCCTGGGAGGCAGGTGATGGTGGGATGGGGTGGGGTTTCTTTCCCCCAACATGAAGACAAGATGCCAGACCCTACCATCCACCATGTGGTCAATATGGCACCGGCCAGACCTGACCTCCTTACTTCACTACCACCCTCTTTGGAGATGTGTTGACTTGATTCTAGAAAAGGTACTAGAGGAGGCAAGCGACTCAGCTGGAACACAGAATTTAAGAAGACATCCATCACTGTCAGGGCTATACAAGTGTCTGGTCCCTACCCTTATGGAGCTCTCAATAGACTAAAGGAGGTCAACACTAATTCAAACACAGCCACGCTAGATGGTATGGAAAGACCATCAGAGCCCATTAAAGGCTATATGTAGGAGCAGGAAGAGGGATCATGGTTGACCCTGGTAGGATCATGGTTGAAGACAACGAGGGCAAAGAAAGATAGTGAGACTCCATCTTAATGAACACACTGGGTTTGATGGTGTACGTCTGAAATCCAAGCTATAGGGGAATGTAAATAAGAAGAATAGAAATCTGTGCTAGGCTAGGGGAAAATCTCAAGACTATATTTTAAAAATAATTAGAATTTTTAAAGGACCAGGGACATGGCTCATGTGGTAGAGCACCTGCCTAACAAGCAAGCATGGGGCCATGAATTCCAACCCCAGTAACAAAACAAAGAAAAACCTAGAAGGGCAAGGAGGGCCAGCTATCCAGCTTTGACTAGTAGGAGGCCATTGCATGGTTTTGAATTTTAAAAAATTTTGAATTCTGAAAAGATCATTCTGAATACAGAATAATGAGTTGATTGCTGGGAGGTAGAAATAATGGGGGCAACCTTAATAGGAGATACTCCAATCATTGAAGTGAAGAGTGATCAAACTCATATTGAAAGATGGTTGTGGGGCAAATAGATTTGAGAGATATTTAGGAGGAAAATCCAACATGTTGCACTCTGGACCCAGGAGAAGCCCCTTTGGATTTAGACTTGAACTGGGTAATGCAGTAGCAAGTAATTGGAGCTGGGATTGCCAAGAGAGAAAAACTGTTTTTTCTGATATCAAATGGTACCTTGTTGTATAGTTAGATTTTGGGGTAAATATGACAAAATACCTAATATGAGTAACTGAGAAAGGGTTTTTTGGGGGGGTCCGGTCATGGGGCCTGAACTCTGGGCCTGGGCACTGTCCCTCAGCTCTTCAGCTCAAGGCTAGCGCTCTACCACTTGAGCCACAGCGCCACTTCCGGCTTTTTTTCTTTTTTCTTATATGGTGCTGAGGAATTGAACCCAGGGCCTCAGGCATGCAAGGCAAGCACTCTACCACTGAGCCACCTTCCCAGCCCCGAGAAAGGGTTTGTTTAGCTTATGATTTTAGAAGTTTTAGTCCAAGGTTAGCTGGAAGTGAGGCAGAATAGTAGGGTGGTAGGAAAGGGAGACAAAGGCTGCTCACCTCCTGGCAGCCAAGAAGCAGAGAACCATAACAGGAAGGAGCCAAAGATAAGACTTCCTCCAAGACTGGCCCATCTTTAGTGATCCATTCCTTCAACCCCACCTTCCACCCCAACCGAATAATCTATTCAAACTTTGAATCCATCCATGGACGAAATCATTCATTAGGACAAAGCCCTGACAGTACCCTATCACTGAAATGGATTTTGAAAAAACAAACAAAAAAACACTACAGTTTATTTACAGTTCAGCCAACCATGAATAGGAAGATTCTTGTTTCACACCTGCCTCCCTGAGAATAGAGTTAAATATAGAAATAAATATTGGATAAAGAAGAGGAGTAGAGCCACATGGTGGAGCCACATGTGGTGGTGCATGCCTGTAATCAGTTTGCATATGCATCATCAGCCTTCCTAGCTCTTCATAGGGCAAATGTTCAGAAAGTGATGAAGATCACAAAGGCTGAGGAGATCAAGGGCTGGCACCCCCACACACACACCTTCCACCCTCCCTGCCCTGAGCTGCCCAATAAGCTCACAGAACCTGCAAAGTAAAATATTAATTTTTTGAAAGAATGGAGTTTTTCTTGTTTAACCACTTTGGAAAGCAGTATGGAGGTTCCTCAAAAGACTCAACATAGAACTCCCCTATGACCCAGCAATTCCACTTTTGGGCATTTACCCGAATGATCACAAACAAGGCTATACTAAAACTACCAGCACAACTATGTTTATCACAGCATTATTTACCATAGCTAAGATATGGAACCAACCCAGAT